AATCTGAAACTGAAGTGTCCAGAGTATCACACAGCCTCCAGAAGCCTCGGGGGAATCTGTTCCTTCTCCTTTGCAGTTTCGGGAAGATCCAGGTGTTCTTTGGTTTGGGTCTGTGTCACTTTGTCCTCTGCCTCCATTTTCACATGGCCTCCTCCTCTGCCACCTCCACATCTACTCCTTTTCCATTTCTTGTAGGAACACTCGTGCTATTGCTCTACCCAGACACTCCAGAATGACCCCATCTCAAAACCTTTCATTACATCTTGCAAAAAGCCTTTTCCATACTAGCTCACCTCATTCACAGGTAACAATGGTTACTTGTCCTCCTCCTTCCTCCCATTGGCCCCTCCCTTCTGCTTACATGTCTTTTTGGCATATTATTCAGCCATACAAAAATAACAAAATTGGCCAGGTGCAGTGATTGGCACCTGTGATTCTAACTACTGAGGATTGCAGTTTAAGGCCAGTCTTGGAAAAAAGTTAGCATTTCTCCATCTCAGCCAATAAGCCAGGCGTGGTGGCGTATGCCTGTGGTCTCAGATACTCAGGAGGCCATAGTAGAAGGATCATAGTCCAAGGTGTGCCCTAAGTAAAAACCTGAGAGCCTATCCAAAAAATAAAAGCAAAAAAGGGCTGGTGGCTCAAGTGATAGAGTACCTGCCTAGAGTGCCCTGAGTTCAAACTCCAGTACAACCAAAAAAAATTATGTCATTTGCAGGAAAATGGGTGGAATTAGAGATTATCATGTTAAGTGAAAGTAGCCAGACTGAGAAAGACAAGTATTTATTTTTCTCTCACATATGGAATTTATTTAGAAAAAGAGAGAAAGAGAGAGGAAGGGAGGGAGGGAGGGAGGGAGGGAGGAGGGAGGAGGGAGGGAGGAAAGAAAAAGAATCTTGAAGATGTCACAGAACCAAAAGCCTGCCTTAACTCCTGACTTCTACTTTCATGAACTAATGTTCCTTCTGACTTGAGCCTGTCATGCTATTCAGTATTTCACCATCTGTGAGAGGTGCACCCTGGTCCATTAGAAGAGATGATGGTAAAAGGACTAGACCAGCTTAGGAGGCTCCCAGATGGACTGAGCATTAACCCGTTAGCTGCTGAACCATGGAGGGGTCTAGGGAGGAGCCAAGGAAAGCATTTGGTAGGCTTAAGGAGAGCAGCTACTTAATTGGATGCAAGTCAACCAAAAACACGTTACTATCGTTCCCATTCTATTGGCTGGGCTCTATCACATGACTTCATGTGATTCTGGGAAATGTAGTTTATCATTTACTAGGCAGCTTGTGCATGGCTAAAAATTCTATTACTGGAAAAGAAATGAAGTAGGTTTCATCGTATTTTGATATTTCTACAACTGGTGAGGCCATACAAATGCATACAAGTTAAACATCAGCCCAACTTGTGCCTTCTGCGTGTCCCCTGTCACTGGCAGCACAAGACAGCTGCACAGAATTCCCAGCTCCAAACTGTGAGGTTGTTACTGACTTCCCTTCCTTTCGGTGATGAGCCAACACACACAGTCTTTTCATGTTTGGCTTCTCAGTCTGTTGCTTTGTCACAATCTCCTCTCTGGACTTTTTTTTTTTTCAGGTAGATTTTACCTCTTTAATCTGCTATCACTAGGTTTGCAAGCCACCTCAAAGCTTTCAGGATTGTGCTGTGAACGGTTGTCTGTGGTATTTGGGGATTCTCAGTTTGGGAAAGGAAGTGGATGTTGGTCATTAGGGTTTGTGGTTAGAATCAGCCACATTGCAGAAGTCTGCACAAAAGACAAATCCTTGTGCGATCAACTGCCCGGGTAGCCTGGGCTCCATAATAATTTAGACGTATAACCCCCAAGACAGTGGGTTTTGGATGACTTGAATTCCAACTCCCCTCTTACTAAAATGACCCAAGTAAAATAATAAGTAGGGAGTGAGGAATTAGTGACAGAAATCTGTTTGTTTCAATTGATTTGACAGCAAAAAACATTGGTGGAAATAACCAGATGTGATGGTTCATACTTATAATCCCAGCACTTGGGATGCTGAGGCAGGAGGATCATGAGTTCCAGACATGTCAGTTTGGGCTACATAGGGAGACCCTGTTTCAAAAAAAAAATAGTGGAGTTGATTCACCATAATTTAAGCAGATCAGAATTAATAGGAATTATATCAAGAAAGTTCAGCAAGTCAAGGGGAAACTTTAAGAGGCAGATTTCAAAAGGCACAGTGTGGTAGTCAGAACAACAGCCCATTCCAACAGTATCCACATCCTAATATCAAGAACCTATGAATACATTACTCTACCTGGCCAAGGTGCCAGATGTTGATGGGATTAAGGTTTATGTGGTCAGCTGACTTTAAAACAAGATTTTTGTGGATTATCCAGGTGAACTCGAGATACATAGAGTCCTTAAATAGGAATGAGAAGGACAGGAGGGTCAGAACCAAAGAGACAGCATCACAAGAAGGACTCGATTCAGTGCAGCCACGTACGAAGATGGAGGAAGAGGCTCCAAGGCAAGGACTGCAGGGTATGGACGACCTCTAGAGGTCCACAGTTTTCCCTCTCCCTGGGAATCACACAGGATGCTCCCAATTCCTACAACAAGGAAGAGATTCTTTATGGGAATTACATCACAACTATAGAGGCTGAGAAGTCCCTGTGAAAGGCAAGCTAGAGACCCAGGGAAGGCAGAGGTGGGTGCAATTTGGTCCAAAGCCAAAAGCCTGGAAACCCAATTTTACTTTTTTTTTTTTGCACTGTGTATTTTTAATCTAATAAATCACAAGTTTACACACCCAGGTTGATAGCACCGTTATTCACAGTAGCACGAACAGGGACACAACCCAAGTGTCCATCATGATGAATAAACACAATGTGGTCTCTCCATACGATGGATACTACTCAGCCCTAAGAGAAATGAAAGTCTGACCCTTACTGCAACATGAACCTTGAAGAAGTCATGCTAAGTGAAATAAGCCAGGCACAAGGACCAATGCTATAGGATTTCATTTATATGAGATGCCCAGATGAGTCAAATTCACAGAGATGGAAAAAATGTTGATTACCAGGGGGTGGGGGGGGAGAGAAGTAGGGACAGAGCTTGAGTTTTGCAAGATGAAAGAATTCTGGATATGGATGGTGGTGACAACTGCACAAGGAAGTGATTTTAATGACACTCAGTTTCACAATCTAAAATGGTAACAATGTTATGTTTACCACAACTAGTGTTATAATAAATCAACCCCCCAGTTGAATCCAGTGTGTTCAGAGAGCCTGGGGTTTTAAGGTTGTCCTCTGCCTACCTGTGTGGTAGAAGTGTTTCTCACACTTTGCTTTTCAATGATCCCATAGTCAGAAATAGATAATTTAGACAGGAGAAAGACAGATGGTAGACAAATACAGAAGCATACATATGATAGATACATAACAGACAGATGATAGACAATGACAGATGCAGAGATACAAATATATAGATATTTGACAGATGACAGATATAATAGATATATAGAGATACACAGCTAGATATTATAAACCATTAATAGATGATGAATATGATAAATGCATAGGTAAGATAGAAAGGTAGATTAGATATTTGACAGACTGATGGTAGATATATAGATAAGTTGATAGATGAGATAGATGACAGAAAGATAGGTTATCATAGATGACAGATTGATTGATAGATGATATATCCATACTGTCTTGTGGTGGACCAGCTCTTAAGGGAGCCACTCATAATTCCCATCTTCTGGTGTTCGTACTCTGGAAGTCTGCTCCTCTTAGTTGACCCTACCACTTGCTCCTAACTAACAGAAAACAGCAAGTTTACTGGCATGGTTACTGGTATGAGTGATTCAGTTTCTCCCAGGTCACTGGACTAAGGGTCCTAGTCTCCCTGGTGACTGGCTTCTCCATGGGACAGCTCACCCAACAGTAGCTGTCCCATCAGAGGAGCTGAGAGGGCAGGAGAGGGCACCAGCAACACGGCATTCCTCTCCTGTGGATGCATTGTCCCCTTTGCCTTGTCCTAGGTCCTGCCCACATGCACAGGGAGAGAGCGGTAAAGGGCACGAACACAGGGAGGTGGGCATTGCTGGGAGCTTTGTGGGGAACTGCCACCAGAGTGGGGGCATCCCAAGTGCATCATGGGCCACTGTGGTATAACAAGGTAACAAAAAGAAAACAAGCTGCATTTATGAAGTAGTGAGCAAGGAGTTCAATTTCCCCCCTACCACCACCCCTCTTCTCAGCACAGTGGACATATGGAGTGGACCATTCTCTGGATTTGTCTGGGGTTGTAGGATGAGTTACACCCCTGGCTTCCATGATAACCCAAAGTATGTTTCTGTATCTTGATCACTGACCTTTATGGAGGCCCTTCAATTCTGTACCCCAGCACCTCACCCCAATCCCTACCTTTGCTTTTTTTGGGGGGGGCAGGGGCAATATGGGATTTGAACTCAGTGTCTCAAGCTTGCTAGGCAGGTGCTCTACTACTTGAGGCATGCCTCCACCTCTTTTTGCTTTAGCTCTTTTCAGATAGGGTCTCAGGTTTTTGCCCAGGCTGGCCTGGACCACAATCCTACCTATGACCTCCAGTGTAGTGGGAATGACAGGCACACACCACAATTATTGACATGGGATCCCACTAATTTTTTGCCTGGGCTGGCCTCCTAATCTCTGCCTCCCGAGCAGGATTACAGGCAAAGTCATTGCACCTGGATCCCTGCCCCATTTCTACAGATGTCTCCTGAGAGACCCAGACTTCAGTGATCACTGCCATGTGCACAGAGATGTGCCTTCCATCTGTACAAAGTCTGAAGAGCTGCTGGTTTGTTGCCTTGACACTATATAGGTTGACATATTGGTTTCCTATAAGGAATAACTAAACCAGTTATATGTTCTGCTCATTGGCACTTCCCCACTCATGGAGGAAAAAATAAAACCAATGACTCAAATAAATCTGGGATTTTATCATTATTATTATTATTATTATTATTACTATTATTATTATTAAAATATAAGTTTGAAAACCTGAGATTAAAATTGCCACAGGAAAAAGAGGGCAGGTCATGATCCCTGGTAATCCTGGTCCTCAGTGACAGCAGCTGTGGATTTCACTCCACATCTTCCTGAGCAATTTGGTGGTAACAAGGCCAGGATCAGTGTCTCCCAGCGCCTCAGTCCAGGGCCTGGCACACGGAAGGTCCTCGGTAAACATTTGCCAACAAGGGACACAGAGCTGCCTTTCACAGAGCTCATTCATCACCACACCATCCATGAGGTGGTAGTTATTCTGCACAGTTTACAGTTGGAGAGCCCAGGCTCAGAGATGAGACAGACGTGTACAGGTCCCACAGGGAACCATGACTATCAGACAACCTGTTCTTAACAGTGCACCAAACACTCCACCACTATCTCTCCTGACATTGCCCACAACCAGAGGGGCTGATGCCACTCTTGGTCAGTCCCCTTAGACTCCAAATGGAGGCCCCTGATGGCCCAGCCGCCCACTGACAGCAGGGTACATCATGGCAGCCACCCGGAGTCAGGGACCCTCTGGCAATCCAATTTGCTGCGGCCAGCTAACAGAAAGAGGGGGCCACACTGCCCCTACAGGGTAATGAGGGCATGGCAGTCAGCATCCTTGGTCTTCAGATTCATAGTGCCAACGCTGCCCCTAGAGGATGAAGAAGAATGGCATCTAGTATCCAGTGCCCTTTGTCTTCAGGCTCACACAGTGCAACACTGCCCCTAGAGGATGAGGGTGAGGGCAGAGCAGCCAGCACCCTTAATCTTCAGGTACAGAGGCTGTGGCATGCAGCTTCCTTGGTCTTGAGGCTCACATGGTACCAACACTGCCCCCAGAGGATGATAAGGGCACGGGAGCCAGCATCCTTGGGTTTTCAGGTTCACAGTGTCAACACTGTGTGAACAGGATGATTACGACCTGGTACCCAGCATCCTTGCTCTGGAGGCTGGGTCCACTCTGCCCCTTAGAGGATGATAAAGGCATGGCTGGCAGCATCCTTGGCCTTCCTTGCAGTCCCATCCTGGGTCAGACACAGATGGCTTTCAAACCTGTTCCAGACATTATCTGGGGAGAGCCTACCCCTTCACAGAAGATCCACGGGACACATCCAAGCCCACCAAGCGAGTACTTTCAGCCCAGAGCCTCCGGGCTATCTCCTCATCTTCAGCCTCAGGAGCTGGAGCCTTCTCTTTGAGTCCATCAAAGTACTTTCCAGAAACACCCTCCAGTTCCTCTGCCACCGCCAAGTAGGTGCTAGGCTGGGCCGCCAGTTGGGGGCTCTTGAACAGCAGCCAGAAGAAAGGCCCTGCAATCAGCACAGAGAACTCAGTCCACCCACACTTGGGAAGATACAAGAGCCCACAACACTGTCAGGGAGCCCAAACCCCAAGGCCAGAAGCTGCGCTGGAGTCCCCCGGAGCCCACCTCCAGGTCTTTGCCCTTCCCTGGCAAATGAAGGGAACCTGGAGTTCCCTTCCCTTACCACACCCAGGCACATCCCTCCAAATGCAGAGACCAACCCAAAAGCTGCCTCCCCCAGGAAGCCTTTATGGAATCTCCCAGGAAAATGGAAGCTCTTACTCCTCTGGGTCAACCCAAGCCCCAAACCCTCGCCTACCCCATCCTTCCTGGAGATAATGTTTACCTCCTGAATGCATCTGGTGGGACGCAGCCTAGAAGTCTTGACACCTAGCACACACCCACTAAATGTTTCTCAGTGTGGTAAATACCAGTTACAAAAGTCTATTTATGCAGCCTACAATCTGGGCCATGCACTTGTGGGCCCTTTCACAGGAGGTCCCACCTAATCCTAACAGGTGGGTCCTATTATGGCTCTTGCTGTGCAGATGAGGAAACTGAGGCTCAAAGAGAGGAAGGCAGTAGGGCATGGTGGTACATGCCTGTAATTCCAGCACTCTGAAGGTGGAGGCAGAAAAACTGAGTTTGAGGCCAGCCTGGGCTATGGAGCAAGTATGAGGCCAGCCTGGGTTGCAGAGCAAGACCCTGCCTCATTAAGTAATTAATTAGAAACAAAGAGGGTAGGGCATTTCCCTGGGTGGCTCAGCTAGTTTGGGGAGAAGCTGCAGTTACCCTGAGCATAGTCTGGCTCCAGGATCCAGCTCTATGTCTTTCCCCCTCCAAGTCATGGCTTCTCACAAACCAGTGGGGCTCTGACCTATTTCCTGGGCATGTTACAAGGCTGGCAGACCAGATCGACAAACAAAAGTGACTCATTCTCTATAGCAGAAAGACACAGGGGGGGAGGCAGAAAGAAGTAAAGCCAGGGACAGTCTCTGGGTGAGGGTCCTGGGCCCCACACTGAGAGGACAAGGGTAGAGGGTTCTATGAGGGACTCCAGGCTGGGAGGGGACTTACCAAGCATGAAGCTGGAGAAGGCAGAGTTATGCATGCCAGTATGTCTGCCCAGCTCTGTCCTGGCCACACCAGGGTGCACAGCATTGACGGTCACACCTGTGCCTGGAGAAAATAAAAAGAATGAGGGATAAGAGGCAAGCAGATGCGAGTTCATTCCTTTCCTGGGAGCAGCACCCCACACCAAGCTCTGGTCTTCCCCATCCTACGCTGTTTCCAAAACTGGAATCCACACCACCCCTCTTGCTCTGAAACCCCAGAGTCAAGTGGATTCATCATGCAAGGCAGCTCTGTTGCATGGCTGCCCTGAGAACAGGGCAGCCTGTTGTAGAGGCTTGAACAGACCCACGCCACTGGGCTTCATCACTCCGGCCAGAGTCTGAAGCAGTGGACCAGGTGGCATCTGATGCTGCAGTTATGACCAGCTCCCAGGTAAGGCTGGCACTGATGGCCACAGACCACCTCTGAGAAGCAAGGGCCTAAGGCAGCTCTCTCAACCTCAGCACAGTGCACACTGTGGATTGGAGACCTGGGCTGCAGGGAATGGAGGACCTGTGCTGGAGGGGATGCGGACCTGGGCTGGAAGAGATGGGGACCTGAGCTGGAAGGAATGGGGGACCTGGGCTGGAAGGGATGGGGACCTGGGCTGAAGGGGATGGGGGACCTGGGCTGGAAGGGATGGGAGACCATCCTATGCATTGAAGGACATTGAGCAGCATCCCTGGTTCAGCCCACTAGAAGCCAGGAGCATCCTATCCCATCCTGCTGTGATAACCATGTCTGCAGACACTGACATATGTCCCCAGAGACCAAAATCACTCCCAACTGAGAACCACTGGCTTAGAGCACCAGAGGCTAACAAGCCTGTCCAAAGTAAGCAAAAAGGAGCCTGGTGAGGGAAGGTCAACTAGAAATGGAAGGCAATCATTAGAACAGTGATGGATTGGCAATGTCTGCCTCCAGCATGGAACGGGGCAAGGTAGTATGAGTGCCATCCTTTTGACCACACTGTCTGGAGCTACTGCTTGCCCAGGGTCACAGAAAAGCTGCTCAAAGGAAAGGGAAGAGGGAAACCTACAAGTTTTGCCCTCGCACACCTTGCAGCTGCCGGCTCAGCTCCTTGGTGAAGAGGACAACAGCCATCTTGCTCTGGCAGTAGGCTTCTTTGGTATTATACTTCCTTTTCTGCCAGTTCAAGTCATCGAAGTCTATATGCCCAGCAATGTGGGCCAAGGATGAAACATTGATGATCCGTGAAGGGGCTGAGGCTTTCAGCTTGTCCAGCAGCAAGTTTGTCAGAAGGAAGTGACCTGGATGAAGGATGACAAGAAAAAAAAATTTTTTTTTTGCAGCACTAGGGTTTGAACTCAGGGTTTTTCACTTTGAGGCAGGTGTTCTATCACTTGAGCTACACCTCCATACCAAAAGTGGTTGTTCTGTTCTATTTTTTGTTCCCATCAGTAACATATGAGCCTCCTGTTTCTCTAATAGTGCTTGTTATTATCTTTTTTAATCATAGACATTCTAGTGAAGGTAAAATGGCATCTCTTTATGGTTCTAATTTGGTTTGTTCAAATTAATTTATTTTTAAATGACAAATTTTTTTTTTTAGTACTAGGGTTTGAACTTGGCCTTGTGCTTGCCAGGCAGGTGCTCTACCATAGTCACCATGTTGTACAACACGTCTTTTGAACTATTTCTTCCAATCTAACTGAAGTTTTGGTCCTTTGCCAATATATCCCCATTCTTACACACACACACACACACACACACACACACACACACACACACACACCAGCCTCTGTAACCACCATCCCACTCTTCTTCAGATGTTCAACTCTCTTACATTTCATAGACAAGTGATATCAGGCAGTATTTGCCTTTCTGTGCCTGGCTTGCTTCCTGTAACACAATGTCCTCCAGGTTATTGGTGTGGCCAATGACAATGTATACATTTTCCTTACCCATGCATCCATGGTTGATGACCAGTTAAGTGGGCACAGTGCTGCAGTAAGCATGGGGGTACAGATGTCTTTCTGACAGACTGATCTCACTTCAGATACACAGTGGGATCACTGAGTTGGGGTAATTGTTACTGAATATTCACTACATACCTAGGACCAGACTAAGACATTTTACCCTCCCCATGATTGACAGTTCTGCTCTCTAGGGACACTTGTGTCTGTGACACTATGGGTTATCACAACTGAAAGAAAATGGGGCTGCTACTAGTATCTGGTGAGTAAAGGCCAGGGGTACTACTAAGTACCTAAAAAACACAGGGCAGTCTCCACCACAGAGAATTACTTGGTCCCAAATATCAAGCCCTACAATAAACTCTATTGGACAAGAGACATCCTGTCTCCCAAAATCCTTTCTCCATTTCTTTCTGAGGAATAGAATTTTTAGCCATGTACAAGAGGCCCAGTCAATGACTGACTACATTTCCCATACTCTCTTGCAGCAGTGAGATCACCTGACTGCACCCAGCCAATAGAATGTGAGTGATAAAACATGTTATTCATTGAACTGTGTCTACCCCCCACCCCCAAAAAAATGGAATTCTAACCTCTACTACCTCAGAATGTGACCACATTAGGAAACAGGGTCTTTACAATATTTAAGTTAAAATGAGTTACTTGGAGTGAGCCCTAATCCAGTACAACTGGAGCCTTTATACAAAGGGTTCCCCTTTTGGAATTTTTTTTTTCTTTTTCTTTTCAGTGCTAAGGATAAAACCCATGGCATTCCATATGCTAGCCAAGCTTGAGCTACACCCCCAGGGCTTTAGATTCCCTCTTTTGGGACACAGACCCTCACACAGGGAGAAGCTAATGGAAGAGAAAGGCAGGTATTTGGGTAATGCCTTTGTGAGCCAGGCAAAACTGAAGAAATCCAGAAACCCACTGGTAGACAGGAAAGAGGCCTGGAACAACCCTCAGAAGGAACCATTCCTGCTAACACCTTGATTTTTAACTTCTCACCTCCAGAACCATTACAGCAAACTTCTGTTGTCTAAGCTTCCCAGTTTGTGGTGCTTTGTTGTGGCAGCTCTAGAAAATTAATCCACATGGGCAACTTTCAGTCCACAGCTTTTCTCCCACTTTCCTCCTTCCCACTGGCAGGAACAAGGACTTGGAAATGAGCCATCTAAGTCCATGGGACAGAGACAGCTTAAAGATACCAAACAAGGGTGTGAGGAGTCTAAAACCCAAGAAGTTCAAAGGGCCAACTCCTCATATGGCGTGGACTTCCAAGAAAAAAATGACCTGTTTTTTGTTGTTGTAGTTGTCACTGTTGTTCTTTGGAGGGTTAAACTCAGGGCCTTGCACTTGCTAGGCAGGCGCTCTACCACTTGAGCAGCTCATGTTTTTGCCTGGGACTGGCCTGGAAAGCAATCCTCTTATTTAAGCCTCCTGCATAGCTAGGACGACAGATGCATATCACCATGTCTCATGAGTAGCTAGGGTTAGAGGCATGAGCCACCATGCCTGGATTATAATCTGTCTTCATTAATCCCCCCTGTTGTGGGATCATCAGTTCAGCAATTGAACCCAAGTGTCCTGTATAACTAATCTACAGATGCTAACAATTCCAACTTTGCAGATGACAGGGAGGAACAGAAATGCCAGGTCCTTTCACCTTGGTCACACAGCTCACAAGCACACAGTAGGAATGCAAACTGGCCCCTTTGATTCCAGACCCTACTTCCTCTGTGGAGCAGCTCTTCCCATTGTACCCAGTAGTATCTCCTGGGTGCCCACTGTGTGTTGAGCGTCATGCAAGTTCTAGAGACAGAGCACATAACAAGACAAATCCTGGTGCTCAAGGAACCTGCATCCTGGTAGGGCAGACAATCAAGAAAACAAACAATGAATGAAACAGATGGGATGGAGAATATGCAGCAGATCAGCTCTGCAGAAGGCAGCCAGCAGAGGCCACACTAGGGGAAAAGCATTTGCCCTGGGATCCAGGTATACAGGGACCCAGTAAGGCCACCTCAGGCAGAAATAAAGGCAAAAACAAGGCTGTGAGACCTCAAGAAGAAAAGGGTTGGAGGATGGAGGAGAGGGAGGCAGCCCAGGGTGCTGGAGCACAGGGAGGTAGGCAGGGCTGGGAGAGGAGCACACAGAGGGACACCGACCAGCAAGAGGGCCTGTGGACTGTCAGGAGTCACAGTTCTCTCATGACTGAACCCAGCCGCCCACCCAATGTCCATCTCCCCTCACCCTAAAAACAGAACTCCAGTGTCACCAAGGATGACATGGACAGACTCACAGAATGAGTGAAAAACAGACTGAATGAAATCACCTATTATTAATATATGACAAATCAAAAAAGTTTTTTAAAGACAGTGGGACAGAGATGGAGGACAGATGGATGGATATTGTGGACAGATGGTCAGAAACTAAGGACAGACTGATGGATGGAAACATCATATGGTTCTCTGGACAGAAGGACAAAAGGCCAGGGGGCAGATGAAGTGTCAGAATGACTGAGCATCCAAACAACAGAAGGACAGGAACCTGGGCTGCCATAATCCACGAGGGACTGCCCAGCTGCCTGGAGAATACAGCAAAGTTGCCAAACATAGTGGCTCACGCCTGCAATCCCAACTACTCGGGAGGCAGAGATCAGCAGATCACAGTTCAAAGCCAGTCCAGGCAAAAATTTCACAAGACCCCATCTCAACCAATAAGAGTTGAGTGTGGTGGTGCATGCTTACAATCCCAGCTATGTAGAGAGCATAAATAGGAGGATCACGGTGCCGGCCAGCCCAGACATAAATGTGAGACTCTATTCAAAAAATGACTAAAGGGCTGGTAGAGTGACTCAAGTGGTGGAGTGCTTCCTATGGTACTGAGTTCAAACCCCAGTACCATAAAAAAAAAAAAAGAACGGAGCAGGGTCCCCCAGAGCAGGTGAGTCCCCCACAGAGCTCACTCTCATCCTCAGCCTAGAACTCACCCAGGTGGTTGACACCAAACTGCATCTCAAAGCCGTCCTCGGTGGTCCAGTGTGGGCACCGCATCACAGCCGCATTGTTGACCAGAATGTCCACTCGCTCCTCCTCTGGAAGACAGAGGTGAGGACAATGCATCAGGCCAATAGCAGTCCACACCAACCTGAGGGCTGGACAGTGTCCTGCACATTCCTGTCCACCTGGAGCCTGGGAAGGTGGCCTATTTTGGAAAACAAGGTCTTTGCAGAGATAATCTAATCCCATCAGGATGAGTCAGAGTATGGGCCCTGATCCAACAGCATTGGTGTCCTTCTAAGAAGGGAAACCACACAGTTACAACCCACTGGAACAAGGCCTCGTGACAGTGGAGGCAGAGACTGGAAGGATGCAGCTGCAATCTCTGGATCCACAGCCACTACCAGAGGCTAGAGAAGCAGTAAAGGATTCAGCCAGAGGCTCAGAGGGAGCATGGCCCTGCCGACACCTTGAGGTCACAATTCTGGCCTCCAAAACTGTGAGCACGACCTCCCTCACCAGGATTGAGCATGCAGTTTGATATGGAAGCCCCAGAACACTTGCAAACACACCCTTTCAAGCTTGGAGGTCTGCCTGCATGGGTCTTGGAGCTCAGGCAGGGGTTACTCACAGGAGCCCAAGCTACAGGCAATGGTGCCGTCCTCAGCCCAACCCTAACCCTTCACCTGTGCGAATGGAGGACACTCACAGGGGGAGCCTCAGTTTCCTCATCTGTAGCCTTCCCTTACCCACTCCACCCCCCATGCCTGTAGACTGGAGTCTGCAGTCTTCTGCTCCCTACCACCCCATGCCAGTTTGCATGAACAAAGGCTGCAGGAACAAAGAACCACAAACCGGAAGCTCAAACAGCAGCAGCTTGTGGTCTGGGTTGCCAAGGCTGCAAACCCAAGGTCAAGGTCAGATGCGGCAGGACTGGCTCCTGCTAAGGCTGAGGGTAGATGGCCAACTTCTCTCTGTTTCTCTTCCCATTGTCATCCCCTGTGCACAGCTATCCGTTCCCCCTTTTTTTTTTTTTTTTTTTTGCAGCAGGCCCTCACATTTAAGTCCTCTACCACTTGAGTCATATTCCAGTCCCTTTGCTTTTAGTTTGTGTTGCAGGGAGGGGGTCTCAAGCTTTTGCCTAGGCAGCTGGCCTAGGACTCCATCCTGTTAGCTATGCCTCCCAAGTAACTGAGATCACAGGTGTGTACACGTGCTCAGCTCCCAACTTCCCCTTTATGAGGACAAAAGAGATATTGAATATGGCCAACCCTAAGGAGTTCACTTCATCCTGATTACCTCTAGAGAAACTCTGTCTCCAAACAAGGTCACATGCTGAAGTACTGGAGGTCAGAGTTCCAATGTTTCTTTGGGGTGAACACAACTGAACCCATAACACCCCCAAAGAGGTTATCCTCTAATGGAGATGAGAAATTGGGTGTCTAGCACCTAACAGCCAGGGGCTACGATCTCCTTCTTCACTTGGGGAAAGGGCAGTATAGCACATAAGTCAAGAACACAAGGACAGGGCTGAGGGTATGGCTCAAGTGGTAGAGCACCTGCCTAGTAAGCACAAAGCCCTGAGTTCAAACCCCAGTACCACAAAAAAAAAAAAAAAAAGAACACAAGCTCTGGAGTCAGCCAAACAAGGGTTCAAATCTTGTCTACTCCAACCAGCTGTATGACCCTGGCCAGGTCACATATCTTCTCTGTGACTTAGTTTCCCCTTTGTTTAAAAAAATAGGGTAATAGCACCAGCCTGATAGAAACATATAATTATTACTAATCCAACAAGTATCTTCTAAGCACCTGTTATCAGGCACTGGAAATACAGGGTGGACAAGACAGCCAAGGTCCCGGCCTTCCTGGAACAGGCATTCCAGCATGGCTGAGACCAAACACACAAGAGAATGCTCCAGTGATAAGAGCCGTGAGGAAAGCAAATAGTAGGTATGACGAGAACGCTAGTGGTGCTGGACAGGAGGTCAGGAGATGTAGGACCAGAGGATGAGACGGAACTGGCCTTTCAAGGCCCAGGAAAGGCAGTCCAGGCAAAGGGTATGGCATAAGCCAAGGTCCTGTGGCCAGGACAAGACACCAGGAAACCTCCTCAGATTTGTTCCATTGTGTTTTATTTGGGAATAACTTCATTATGCCTCATTTTTTAAAGCAGGAGATACACATAAAATTTACCATCCTCCAAGACTACTCACAGAGAAGTGGTGAGAGCAAACAGTCAGCCAGAGCCCCGTGGAGTCCAAAGCAACCAAGACAGGATAGTAAGCTGTGTGCAGCAGTCTCCGACACAGAATGGGGGAGTGAACGGGTTGGGGGGGCAGCAGAAGGCCAATGACATTCTCCAATTTGTATTTAAAAATGGAAGGGAAGTCAGGCATCAGTGGCTCATGCCTATAATCCCAGCTACTTGAAAGACAGAGACAGGAGGATCACAAGTTCAACACCAGACTGAGCAAAAGTAGAGGTAAGACTATCTCAAAAAAATAAAATAAAAATTAAAAGACTGGGGGCTCAAACAGTAGAGCACTTGCCTAGCGTGCACAAGGCCATGAGTTCAATCCCCAGCACTGAAAAAAAAAGACTGATTGGAGACACATATACATGTTTGCCTTAAAAATACTTAAAGTATCGTCAAAAGGACACACAAGAAGCTGGTATGCTGAACGCATTTTGAAGTTTCTGACATTTGTTTAATCATGGAGACGTTCCTATTCAAAACACTGATGTGTAAACAGCTTCGATGGCATCCAGTAGGAAGCAAAAATGTGCCTCGGTGTGACAGAGGGGCAGAAGACACCAGACCCGCCCCAGGTGTGGAAACAGGACACTGCAGAGAACAGGGACCTCCCAGGACTCCATCCTCTGCCTACTGGTCCTCCATCTGCACAAGTATCATCCATGATCTGTGAGACCAGGTTCTCCTGACTCATCTGTGTCCCTGGCACCACAGACACAGGCTGCCAGCCAGAAAGCCTCAAGAACAACAATGGGTCAGAGTTCCCGCCCTTGTTCATGTGCCCACCTCCACCCTCCACCTTCAGAGTTCAGCTTATCACTGAGGCCTGATGTAACCTTGCTACGCCACTCACCCTGCCACTTACTGCCCCAAAGCACCGTGACTGTCTCCCTGCCCCTGACTCTGAGTCCCTCTTTTGATTTCTGTCTTCCAACCAAAGCACATGTGCCATGTTTTTCTCACCAAAGTATACCCACTACTTAGTTCACCATCCTGCACGGTGGGCTTTAGCATCAATAATCTGCTATGAGTTGAACTGCAGCCCCCAAAAAGACACGGGGGTGTGGCTCAGTGATAGAGCACTTGCCTAGCATGCACAAGGCCCTGGGTTCCATCCCAGCACCACCAAAAAAACAAAAATTTAAGGAACCTCTGGAAAAACTGGAGACTGAGTAACTACAGTCAGTCCTGTGGGGAACTCCAAATCCACATGATCGACTCCCCCCTCCATGAAAACCCTGGACACAAGGCTCGGTGAAACACCGTGGTTGGTGATCCATCACTGCTGATGGAAGTATCTATCCAGATACTTTCACACAATTCCACTGGAAGGGGAGCTCCACTGGGAGCTCACACCTCTTCCCTCGGCCGATCCTAAGCCGTGTCCTTTCCTGCAATGGACTATAATGCTAAGTGTAACAGCTCAGTTCTCCCTGAGTCCTTTCAGGCAATCATCATACTTGAGGGGGGTTCTTGGGGACCCCCCAACAACACCTCTGGGAATCCAGGCTCCCAGACTCTGGCCAGAGGCCAACTCACACGCAAGTTTTCTACAGACAGCAACCCCAAGCCTGCGTTTCCTGCACACCCAATAAATGTCTTGCAATCTGATCCCAGCTTGACTTCCAATTCTGGTGTGACCCAAGCTAACACAGAAGGAGCTCTCAAGAGTAGGAAGCAGCGAATGTTTCCTAAAAAGCCCAGCCAGCAATATTGATGCCTCACAGGCCATACAGCCAGGCCCATCCTCAGGAGGACAAGAGCAGCCACAGGCAATATGTAAATCAGCAGCCGTGACTATATTCCAAAAAAATTTTACTTATGAGTCAGGCGGCAGTGTCTCATGCCTGAAACTCTTGCTACTCCAGAGGCAGAAATTGGGAGGATCAAGGTTCACAGCCTGCCCAGGCAAAAAGTTCAGGAGCCCACATCTCAGCCAATAAAAAGTTGGGCATGGTGGTACACACCTGTCATCCCAGCTACATGGGAAACATAAATAAAAGGATCAAGGTCCAGGCCACCCTGGGTATAAAATCAAGACCCTGTATGAAAAATAATTGAAGCAAACAAGGGCTGGCAGCATGGGTCAAGTGGCAGAGCTCTGAGCTCAAACCAAAGCATCATGAACTTTATTAGTGGACACTGAAGTCTGAATTTCATATGATTTTCACCTGTCATTCTTTTGACTTTTTTCAATGCTTTAAGATGTAAATATGAAAATGTAAACTAAAACTGAAATATTCACTCACAGGCTGTTCAAAATAAGCTGTGCTGGTCAAACCTCTGCTCTAGGACTCATCCAGAGCACGGCCCTAGGCGCCAGCCACCCCAGACCTCCTCTAGCAAGGCCAGCATGCCCCCGCCTACCTTTGATGATCTTCGCTGCAAACTCTCGGATGGACTTGAGGGAGGCCAAGTCTAGGTGACGGGCATTGACGCGGTGGTTGAGTGTCTCTCCACGAATGTCCTTCGCTGCCGCCTCACACTTCTCCATGTCACGACAGGCCAAGATGATGTTGCCTCCTAGAAGTTGAGGATAAGAACACATTTTAAAAAAAAAACCTATACCTACCTACCTACCTAAGAACTGTAAAAGCATACACCCACACCAAAATGCTACATGGATGTTCACAGCAGCATGTCACAGTAGCCAAAAGATGTAAATAACCCAAACACCCATCCACACAACAGTGGATACGAAGAATCAAGGTATGGTGGTGCACTTCTGTAATCCCAACTACTTGGAAGATGAAGGTAGGAAAAGGCTGCCTTGAGCAAAAAATGTGACAACCTCCCTGAAAAATAACTGAAGTGTAAAGGCTCAAATGATAAAGCAAGCTCAAGGCCAGTACTGCCCCCAAAAAAAAGAATGAACCATGAACACAGGAAACAAATGAAATTATTACACTCAGGGACAACCAGGCACAAAAGCCATGTACTGTATGGCTGCATTCATGGCAAACATTCAGAACAGGCAAATCCAGACACAGAAAGCAGAGGAGCCGGTTCCCTAGGACGGGGCGAGAGTGTGATGGCCAGAGTAGATCAAGGTTTCCTTTGATGTGATAAAAATGTTCTTAAGTTGCTTGTGGTGATGGCTGCCCACCTTGGAAATATACAAATCACTGAACTGTACATTTAAATGAGTGAATTGTGCAGGATGTGAAGTAGACACTCCGAGACTTACCATGGTTTTACATCCTGATAAACCCATCGTAGACTGAAGATGTCACAGGTTGAAAATGCATTCGACACCACTCACCTCTACAGCATCCTTCCTGAGCCCAGCCTACTGGAGCATACTTAGAGCACATATGGGCAAAATCACCCCACACAAAGCCTGTTGTATAAGAAAGTATCCAATGCCTCATGTAATTTACTGAACACTGTACTGAAAGTGAAACATAGAAAGCTGTGTGTGTACACTCTCAAGCTACTGTAAAACTGAAACTCATCAAGTCAACTCATCTAAGTAAGGGAGCACTTGTGTACCTCAATAAATCTGTTATGTTGTTGTCACTGTCTTTGTTGTTTGCACTTTTAGGGAATGAACCCAGGGACATGAGCTTGTAGGTAAGTGTTCTAACCACTCGAGATATGACCCCAGCCCTAAAATTCTTTTTAATTAGAAAATAGAGACCAGAAAACAGGCTTGCGCAATAGATGGAAGGCCATAATCTTGTCACTCTGAATCTGTGTGGTTTTTTTCTACCCACAGCTGGACCTGGCTGCCTCATACACACCCCGCCAGTCTTTCACACAAACCATGTCCAAATTGGACCTCAAAGGACTGCACACACCCCATCAGCCCTTCACTTGCTGAACCCCACCCTCAGGTCTGCTCATCCACCCAGGGCAGCCTGACCTGGGACAGAGCTGTTGTCTCTGCAATGTCCTGCTCGCCTTTTCTTACAGTCTTTGGAAGACTCATGGCCCCACACCCCGTGTGATGCTGTGGGACTGTCCATCACGGTCCCCCAGCATTGATCTCAGATGGACAGGCACCTCATGGTCAGGTCATCAGAAACCATTTCCCTCAGCATCCTTCCTCCATGAGCCCACAAAAGGTTACCATCTCCTTCCAACTCCCAGCCTTCTGCCCACCCAGCACCCAGCTGATGGCATCTCTGTCGTCCAGTGGATCAAACTAAAAACCCAGACTCCTCCCTTCCCAGACCTGACCCAACAAGGAACCCCATGGATTCTAACTTCTAAAATGCCTGACCAGTAAGCCTGGAACAACCTCAGGTCAGGTCCTGACTCGTGACCTCCAACCCTCGCCCCTACCAGACCATTAGGACTGAGTCTGACTGCAGGAGGAAAGACAGAGAAAAACCAACTGTATCCTCCAAGACCCCTCAACCATCCCTCATCTCTCCAGCTACAGGAGCCCTTTTGGCTTAACCTAGTGTGTTTGGTTTCTGCTACTTACAACCACAAGAATCCACTGACCTCAACATCCCATAGAAAAGCAAACACTCTACCTGCTGATCCTCTTGGTGATAACAGAGTTTGAACTCAGGGCCTCACACATATTAAGCAGGTGCTCTACCACTTGAGCCACAACCCCAGCCCTTTGGGTTATTTTTGAGTCAGGGTCTCACATTTATGCCCAGGCCAACCTGGGCATCACCCTTCCATTTGTGCTTTCCTGAGTAGCTGGAAGGACAAGCACATACCATTACATCCAGCTTTTATTGGTTAAGATGGGGTCTCATTTTCGTGTCGGGGTTATTTCACTTAGCACAATGTCCTCGAGGTTCACCCATGTTGTTAGAATTTCCTTCCTTTCTGAGGCTGAATAATTTTCCATTGTCTGGATGGACCACATTTTGTTTATACCTTTGGCTACTGTAAACAATGCTGCTATGAACACAGGCATGCAAGTATATTTCTGGAACCCAAAAGTAGGTGGGATTTTACCTCTCTTAGCCAGTTCCAAGGCAGTGTATTTCCCAATGCCTGTGTTGGCACCCGTTACAATGACCGTCTTCCCAGGTATGGTGGACTTGCTAGGGCAAACCCCGCCGGTGACATAGTCCCTGGAGGCAAGAAACACAACATTCAGCTCCATCTGTGTGTCTACTCTCACCCTATGTACAACAAGGGACTGTGTGATCTCAGCCAAATGACCCCCCAAACTCACATCACCCATCCAAAAGATAGAAACAACATATAACACGTAGGGTCCTTGTCATGTTCTTTGTAAAGGACTTGACTTAGGCAGGTATAGTGGTGCACACCTATAATCCCAGCTACTTGGAAAGGAGAGACTGGGAGGCTCATGGTTCAAGGCAAGCCAAGGGAAAAAGTTAGTGAGACCATATCTAAACCAACAAGCTAGGTGCAATGTGCGTGCCTGTCATGCCAGCTATGCAGCAGGCATAGGTAGGAGAATCGTGCTCTGTAGGAGGCCAGCCCCAGACAAAACCACGAGACACTATCTGAAAAATAACTAAAACAAAAATGGGCTGAGGACAGCCAGATGCCAGTGGTTCACACCTGTAATCCTAACTACTTGGGAGGCTGAGATCAGGAGGATCGTAGTTCAAGATCAGCCCAGGCAAATAGAACCCATCTCCAAAATAACCAGAGCAAAATGAACTAGAGGTATGGCTCAAGCAGTAGAGCACCTGCTTTTCAAGTGCCTGCTTTGTGAGTGTGAAGTCCTGGGTTCAAACCCAAGACCCACAAAAAAAAAGAAAAAAAGAGGCCAGGGAACAAGGCTTACATGGTAGAGTACCTACTTAGCAAGTTCGAGGCTCTGAGTTCAAACCCCAGTATTAGCAAAAAGTGGGGGCTCATCCTGGTATGAAGGAAATCACCATGAAGAGACAAGCACTGTATGAGTGTCCTATAGTTGCTGTAACAAATGACCCCAAACTCAGTTAAAACTACACAAATTCATCATCACTGTTCTACAGGTAGTAAGTCTGAAACAGGTTTCACTGGGATGAATCTAGGTGTGGGCAGGGATGGTTCCTGCTGGAGGCTCTGGGGACAATCTGCTCCCACATTCCTCGGCTCTCAGCCCCTCCCCCTCTTCAAGGTACACCACTATGACCTCTGCTTCCATCTCTCCATCTCCTTCTCTGACACTGGCCCTCCTGCCTCCTTCTTATAAGGACCTGAAAGATTACATTGGGCTTTCCTGATAATCCAGGATAATCTCACAGTCTCAAAATCCCTAACTTAAAACACACCTGCAAAGTCGCCTTTGATCCATTAGGTAACATATCCACAGGTTTTAAGGATTAGGATGTGACATTTTTAAGGATATTCACACCCATATTCCACAGAAGCAAGCTAATGTCCAGCAGGAAAAAGTTAGCCAACAAACCACCACCACAAGCATAAAAAGAAGGGCACTGTAAAAATATGGTGGCTACCAGCCCTTAACTAAAGGCTAATTTTTCTTTAAATTAATTAAAAGTTTACAGGCATTCTTGATGCTCCATAGTCAATTATGGTCAGTGGCTATTACAGTGGACAGATAATCCCCACCATCACAGAAAGTTCTTCTAGACAATGCTGGTTTAGAATGCTTGGGAGCTGCTGCGTTTAGTGGCGCACGCTTCTAATCCCAGCTACTTGGGACATAGAGACAGGAAGATTATGGTTCAAGGATGAAAAACCAAAAGCGCAAAGGACTAGGGCATGGCTCGAGTGGTAGAGTGCTTAGGCAAGTGCAAGGCCCTGAGTTCAAACCCCAGTACTACCAAAAACAAAAAATTTACTCTCAATGATTTTTAAGACCACAATACATGGCTATTAACTATACTCACCATGTTGTATAACAGATCTGGTCATTTAGTTCTGATTAGGAGATATATTTATCTGTTGCAAATTTTAAATCTCAAAATCTTCCTTTCACCTGTGTCCAGTTAACCCACTTCCTATGTCTCCAACAGACATTGCTAGGCTTTTGTTCATTGTTTTTGAACTCTTCTTTCTTTCCAGTTGTCTTTATTGTATAAAGTATACAGCACACAAAATTTGCTATCATATCCACTTGAAAAATGGATAGTTAGGTGGTATTAAATATATTCCTAATCATCACCACCATCTCCAGAACTCTTTCCCCTCCCTCCCAGGGTCTCACTGTGCAGTCCTGGCTGGTCTAGAACATTACGATCTTCCTGCTCACCCTTCCAAGTGTGGGAACTACAGGCACCAGGCCAAAACTCTTCTCATCTTGTAAAACTGAAGCCCTGAGTAGAGTATTGTGGCACACATGGAGGCTAAGGCAAGAGAATCTCAAGTTCAAGCCCAGCCTGGGTTACAGAGCAAGACACTGTCTCAAAAAAAATGCCTAAAACCTTATCCCCATTAAACACTAACTTCCCCACCTGCCACCATCCCATTTCTGGCAACCACAACTCTTTGGTCTCTAGGAATGTGTCTACTTCACTTATTATTCTTTAGCACATTAGTGACATCACCAGTCAGCAAATTCAGTCAGCTGCACTTATCCTATGCACACCTGCATGCCTTTGGAGCATCCTTCGTGCTCACCTTGGTTACACCCTCCATCTGGGCCAGAGAACCCACTAAGCACATTTATTCTCATGCTCAAAACTCACAAAAGACTTCCACCAATGTCAAGTGCAACACTTGATATGGTTCATCTGTCTCCTGGAACACCTGCACCCTGGCCAGGTCCAGTACATAAGAGGCCTGGGGAAATAGCTAAGCATATGAAGACTCTGTTTCCAAGATACAAAAAGTAAAATACAAATTGGTAGAAATACTACTTGAGTCACTCCACCAGCCCTTTTTTGTGTGATGGGTTTTTTCGAGATAGGGTCTCAGGAACTATATGCCTGGGCTGGCTTCGAACTTCGATCCTCCTGATCTCTGCCTCCTGAGTAGCTAGGATTACAGGCATGAACCACCAGTGCCCAGCGGAAAGATTTTTTAATAAGGGCTTTTTAAGGGTTAGGGTTAAGAAATCAGCCCTTGCCTAAACTATCACAGGAGAGTCTACTAGTATTTGCTCATGGTGATCTAGCCTTAGGTTTTAAAACTATAAGCTTGCATTCTCTCTGGCCCACTTGTGAACATTGTTTCTATGTGCTAGTATATATCCATGAGTTACATTCATTCAGTGCTATTCCTAACTGCAGAAAGCAAATAACCTAATCAATAGGACAGATGGGTTACAGTGTAGCCACAGAATCAAAGTCTCCAACATCCAAAGTCTGCAAGAACATATATAGACACTCACACTTTGATGCTAAATGAAAAGCAGGAAATGAAACAGGATTACAAGTGTACACAGTAGTGGACAAACTGGGTTCCTAAATCAGAAAGTCCTGGGATCCAAAGAGGACTTCCCATTCACCAGGAACAAGGAAAGCGATTTTCCCTGGTGCAGAATAAATGTTAGTTACTATTCTGCACATTCAATATAATCCCAAATATCTTAGGAAGAGAAGAAAAAACAGGAGGGAAGAGGAAAGGAAGACGAAAAGATATATAGATATATACATACATACACACACATATATATAATAACTTTTCTTTGAGTTGTACAAACCTATTTCTTTAATTTTGGATTAAGTTTGGGTGACATTTTCCCTACTAGGCCAGCAGGTAACAAAGGAAGTGTTTAATAAATATTGGCTAAATGAACTGATTGATCAATTAAAGTCAGGAAGGAATGAACCAAAACGCTCAAAAGGGCCTGGCCCCACCCCTTCCTCTGAGTGACCTTCAGCCAGTGACCTGCTCTCCGCAGGCCACTAGCGGAGAGCCGCTCGCGTCTGGAAGGACATTGCTGGTGGGTGGCAACGGGACTCCAGGGCTAGTGAGGATGGGCGACCCTCCCCACTGTCGTTGTCCTTCCGCTGCCCACCAGCGCGCACCGGTGCCGGCCGGTACTCACTTGAACAGCACGGCGCCACCCACCATGGTGCCCAGCACCGACACCGGCAGCAGGTAACGGTTCATGCCAGGCAGAGGCCAAGGGCGCCCGCCGATGTGTCAGCAGGCTGCAGCCTGAGGTCTCCGAAGCAGAGCGCGCGGCTGGAGATCGAGCGACAACGAGCAAGACCCCACGCGGGCTCCAGAACCCGGCAGTGCGGGGCGTGGTCTGAGCCTGGAGGCGGGGCCACAGAGACTCGACCTATGTAGGCGGCCCTTTGGGCTCCTGGGAATTCTGGGAATTGTAGTTTTGGGAGTCATGGGTGGACAGGATCAAATGACGTCAGTTCTGGATTTTAAAAAAACTGTTCCGTTCCCGCCGCCTCCCTTGCCAGACTGCAACCCTCAGGGACTATATCAGCCTGCTTCCTTATCTAAAACTTTGCTAGTAATTGTACCGTGCTCATAGATTGTGGGGAAAATGAGAAGTTCCGTGCTCAAATACTGAGAACTAAGTCGGAGGTTGGGGTGGGGGGAACGGGGTGCTCCAATAGGGATTGTAGAGAAGGAAAATGAGAAAAAGAATCCGTGACTCAATACTGAAAATAAAAAAGTGAGGGTATGGGGATGGGCGGGAGAACGGTCGCAAAGAGAGTGTAAAGAAGAAAAAGAGACATACATAAAGATAAAATCCCAAGCACAGAAAAAATGCAAGAAGAAGATTACGAGAGAATATCAAAGGGTACATCTGAACATACGACATAACTGGTCCCTGTCTACAAAAAGAAAATACAAAGAAACAAGTAAAAAAAAAAAAAAATGAAGGGGCAGATAAGGACAAACAAAATAGCACTAGCTATACAATCCACCAGATGTTTAACCAGAAAAAGTGACCAAACAAAACCATACTGACAAAAAAAACTAATCACAGAAAGGGATACAATGGAGAGAGAGACACAGGAAAGAGCACTGCCCAACCATTCTGGGTACATAAGGAGACAGAGGAGCTAGGATCAATGCAACCCCTACTTCCAAAAGAAAAAAGAGAGAGGAGGGACTAGAGAAGATTCTGAGGACATCAGGGATACTCAGGAGGAGGGACAGGGGCTAGAGAAGTCTTGGACTACACTAGATATGTCTGAAGGAAAAAAAAAAAAAAAAGAAGGATGAAAAAAAAAAAAAAGAAGCAGTTGGACTCAGAGAGATTACTGAGGAAAGAGGAGAGACTAAAAAAAAGGATAACACAAAACCCTGGCTATAGCGGAAGAGAGAGGGAGACTTAGGACAATGGCCAGAGATAAAAAAAAAAAAATAAAAAAAAAAAAAAAAAAAAAAAAAAAAAAAAAAAAAAAAAAAAAAAAAAAAAAAAAAAAAAAAAAAAAAAAAAAAAAAAAAAAAACAAAAAACAGGACTGAAGGGGAATACCGTGTCATTTAAAAATAGTGTACTGAGCGGGGCACCAGTGGCTCATACCCATAATCCTAACTACTCAGGAGGCAAAGATCAGGAGGATTTCAGTTCAAAGCCAGCCCAGGCAAATAGTCTGTAAGACCCTATCTCAAAAAAACCCATCCCAAAAAAAAGGGCTGATGTGGCTCAAGGTGTAGGCCCTAAGTTCAAACCCCATTACCACAAAAAAAAAAAAAAAATAGTGTACTGGGTTTCCTTCCAGCCCTGAAAAAGGGGAAGGATTAAAAGGAAGGATGGAGGGAGGATAAAGAGGCAGGGCATATCTCTGAGTGGTGGAGAGCTTGCTGGTACTCATTCAGACAGTGAAGAGAATGTATATCAGTTGTCCACTGGCAGAGTTGAAGGTTGTGACAGTGCCTGGTGTGGTCAGACATGGGAAAACTCCCCGTGATGGGAGTGCCCACTGAAACCCATCCAGCTACCTGTCTCAAAACGACCCATGCATATGTTTGACCTAGCCGTTCCCACCATGTAAGAATTTATGCTAAGGGAGTATGACTGGTCATTCAGAAGCATCCATAGGAATGTTCCTCAGTCTTTATTATTATTATTATTATTATTATTGCACAGGGATTCATTGTGACATTTACAAAGGTTTTACTGTATATCATAGTTGAATTCACCCCCTGCATCATTCTCCTTGATTCTCACAGTCTTATGTCTCCCTTGCTCATACTGAGATACAACTGGCAAATAAATCACCCTCAATATCCCTCTGTAGGCAAGTGTTCACTCAACTCCTTCCAGCAATTATTTAGCACCCACTGTATCCCAGACACTAAGCTAGGCACGGGCAACTCAGGAACAAGACAGATGTGGTCCCCACCCTCGCATATCCTCTGAAGATAACAGTAAAGTTTAAGCCATCTGTGTGTGTTTTACACACACACAAGCTACAGCTTCAAGGAACTCAAAATTTTAAGAATTTCTTTTTCTTTTTTTTTTTCCTGTGTAAGGAGTTGAACTCAGGGCCTTGCACTTGTTTGGCAGGTGCTCTGCCACTTGAGCCACTCCCGCAGTCCTTTTTCCTTTAGCTAGTTTAAATAGGGTCTCACATTCATGTGCTAGCCAACCTGGACCTTGATCCTCCTATTTATGCTTCCCTCATAGCTAGGATACCAGGCACAAACCACCATGCCTAGCTTTTCATTTGTTGAGATGGGATCTCATGAACTTTTTTTTTTTTTTTTTTTTTTTGTGAGACTGGGGTCTGAACTCAGGGCTTCACATTTGCAAAGCAGGTGCTCTACCACTTGAGCCACAACTCCAGATCATTTTGCTCTGGTTATTTTGAAGATAGGGTCTCTGGAACTATTTGTCCAGGCTGGCCTTGAATCTTGATCATCCAATCTCAGCCTCCCAACTAGCTAGGATTATAGAGGTGAGCCACCAGCACCTGGAAAAAGCTTAAGAATTTCTCCTCACAAACATAAACCCCTGAGTTTAAACACCATACCCCCAAAAAAAGAAAAGAATTTCTATGTGTCTTTTCATTTACCAACAATGCAAGGGGAAAAGCAGGCTGACTTTAAATTTATTTACATGCTCACATGGATATTTTTATAGAGTGTAAAAAGACCACGAAAATATTCTATGTGAGTTATTTGCCAGGTAGAGTGATGGTGATTCTGTTCTTTTTCACACTTTGTTCATCTCAGTTTTCTCCTTCTTGGATAATGGTTTCTTTCAATTCAGGTGAAACCATCCCAAGAGGTACTGAAAGGTCACTGTTAAGAAGCTGGGTGCCACAACCCATAGTCCATTGATAACAGATGGGCAAATAAGATGTAGACTCTACAAATGGTGAAATTTGGGGGGGTTGGTACTGGGATTTGAACTCAAGACCTTGTGCTTGCTAGGCAGGCACTCTACTACTTGATCCACATCCTTCAACAATCCCCCTTCTGATCTATGTCTTTTGTTTTAATCTAGATTCTGCAGATGAGAGAAAATGTATATTTGTGTTGTTTCCTTAACATGATGATCTCCAGTTCCATCCATTTTCCTGCAAATGACATAATTTCATTCTTGTTTATGGCTGAATAGCACTCCACTGTATTTATATACCACTTTTTCTTAACACATTCATTTGTTGGTGGGCACTTAGGCTGATTGCATAGGTTGGCTGTTGTGAATAGTGCTGCCATAAACATGGGTGTGCAGGTGTCTCTATTGTATGCTGACTTACATACATACAGTGGAGTATTACCCAGCCTGCCTGAAAAGGAAATTCTGACACAAGCCACCACATGGATGACTTGTGGACCTTTTAAGTGAAATAAGCCAGTCACCCACAGCATGATCCCACTTCTTTTTGGGTGTGTGTTCAGTACTGGGGATTGAACTCAGGACCTCAAGAATGCTAGGCAAGCACTCTAAGATGTAAACCACAGCCCTAGGACTTTGTTGTTGTTGTTGTTGTCTTGTCTTTAGTTTATCCGGGTAGGTGTCAAACTCACAATCCTCCTGCCTCTGCCTCCCAAGTAGCTGGTATTACAGGTATGTACCACTCCACCCAGCTTTGGTTTTCCTTCTGTGCAGTACCTAAAGGAGTGAAAATCACAGACAGACACCAGGGTGGTGGTTGTCAGGGGCTGTCGAGGGGGAGTTAGGGTTTATGGAGTGCAGAGTTCTGAGATGGAGGGTGGTGAGGATTGTACTCAGTGCAAATGGGCTTCACACCACTGAACGTACACTGAAGATAGTTATGGTAGGAAATTTTATGTTCTGTGTCTTGTACCACACCTAGAAATAAAAAAATGCAAGAACTAAATACCACACACATGCGGTTCTGGTGCTGATTCTCTGTTGGTGGTACTGCAGTTTGGACTCCGGCCTTTGCACTTGCAAGGCAGGCACTCTGCTGCTTGAGCCACGTCCCCAGCCCTCAGGTACAGATTCTCTTGATGCTGAGAAAAGCATCTTCCACCCCTCTTGGTACTTTTTTCTCCTTTTCTGTAAACTGGGGCCCTTATACCATATACTTCCAGGCAGAAGTCAACAAACGTTTTCTAAAAAGGGCCCAGTAGTAATTTCTGCTTTGCTGGCCATTCAGGTGCAGCCTCTGTGCTGTAGAAACTGGAAGCAGCCATAGATGATATACAAGCAAATGAACATGGTTGTGTGCCAATAAAACTTTATTTAGAAAAACAAGTAGGGGGCCAGAGTTTGCTAGCTCCTCTCATAGAATTTAAGAAGGATGACATGAAATAATTCATGAGAAGGACCTAACCCAAAGTGAGTGCCAGAGCATTGCTGGCTGTTAACTTTGATGTTAAACAGAGAGTGACACATGTAAATTCCTTGCTCTGAAGGCCTCCTACCCAATTCCCAGACACACCCAACCTGGTTGCAGTGTCTGTTGGGGCTCCTAGTAGGCTGCAACTTTGATGGTGTTAACAGGTGGTAGGTGGGTGCTGTCCTGGGTGCTGAGAAGATTCTCCCACACTGCCCTGTGATTTCCCCAACAGATGGAGCAGGGTACCCAGGTCTGTCTCTCTCTCCTTCTTGCTCTCAATCTCCCTCTCAGTCTCTCTCTCTCCTCCTCCTCTCTCTCTTATCTTTTTTATGATTATTTTTTATTAGCATATATTAGTTATATAAAGGAGTTTCATTGTGATATTTCCATACATGCATTAAATGTTTTCAACCAGACTCATCCCCATCACCCTCTCTTATCCCCTCCCCCTTCCTACTGATTCTCCCTCCAACAGTCCCCCCTTTCATA